GAAAGAGGCCTCTGCCGGGCACTGTTCCCTGTGGTGCATTCCTGTGGAGACCTGGTGACCCCAGTCTCATCCCAGCCTCTGTCCTGAGATAGTAGGAGGATGGGAAGGCTGGTCTGTCTGGGGGAGCCCAGGCCTCCGTATCCTGCCCAGTCTTTCCCTGAGGAGGTTTAGCTTCTGAACTGAGGTAGAACCTTGGGGAGAAGCAAGCTGTGTCCCCTGCCCACCCTTTGCCCTGGGGAACATGCAAAAGAGTCACCTACACCCAGAAGTACAGACTCAGCTCTGGACGTGAGCCCCCTCTCCATATCCCTCTCTGGCCTCTAACATAGTCAAAAAGTGAAGTCAGGACCCCTCGGCCCCAACCCCCAAGCAGGAGCCTGGGCACAGTGCCTGCCTTGGACTTGCTGTATGAGACGGGACCAATGCCTACCCCTTTGGTCCTAATTTTGCTCCCTTTGCCAGGGGGAGGAAAGAGAGGGGGGTGACCTGACTTTTTGAGTCCAGCTCCTAGGGGAGGGTCTGACCTGGGGGTCGGCCTGGAGAGCCTCTTATCCCCAGAGGTGCTGGACCAGGAGGCCCAGACTACATGATCTCATGTTGCCCTCTGCCCGCTGCCCGGCCCGGGCACCCCACCCACTGGGCCTCCTGCCCTCACATTCTTTCCATAACCAACAGACACCCTCTGGCTCCTGCCTGGCCACCCCCACCTGGAGCGGGTGAACTGTGTATAGCAGAGATTCAGAATGCCCAAGTTAGACCAACCCAGACAGAGCACCTCGGCACGGATGGCTTGACCTAGGCCAGAGAGGGCAAGTGACGTGCAGAAGGCCACACAACAAGGCAGGAGCAGAACTGTCTTCTCAACCTGTCTATGGTTCCCTCTCTGTCACCTTAAGCTACTAAAGGACAAGGGCCATCCCATCTGACTCCCCTCAAGGACCCTCTTCCCGGCATCTTATCTGAAACCAGGAGGGGATCCCAGCCCCCCACTCCTCCTTCTCAGCAGGTTAGAGCAAAAAAGAGTACTGAGTCACCTTGCTAAATCAAAATGGAAAATGATAGAATCAAAGGTATTTCAAAATACTCCAGAGTTTTTAATCACAGCAGCTCAGATTCTTGAAATATCAGAGTTGAAAGGGCATCGCCTGCTCAATTTCCGAATCCCCTCTACACCAAGTAGTGCACGTCATGTTGGATTCCAGGAAGATGGAAGCCCCCTACCTTCAGAGGCTGCCCCCTCCCACCCGTTTGGCAGCTTCCAAGGACTGGTAGGAAGTTCTTCACCTGCTGGTCCTTTGGTCTCTGCTCTTCCTGCTCCCAAGGAGGCCACCCCCACCCACAGGGCTGGGCCTTCCTCAGCAGGCTCCTCCGCCCTCCACATCTTATCTTCCCTCCTGCCCTCCCACCCACCCACTTCCTTCCCTGGTTTCTGGCATTCCACTGCCCAGAGTTCAGTTCTCCTTCCCACACCCCAGGCAGCGCCTGGGCCAGGGGCGGGGAGTCCCTCTCCTACGGAGGGCAGGGCACTCGGAGGAGGCCAACACAGTGATGAGGAAGAAGGAAGGGGGAGGCTGTGTCAGCCAGCCCGGCATGTCCGTCTGCTGGGAGTGTACAGAACCCAGGAATCCAGGCCTCAGCCCAAATCTCTCCTCCCACACAGGTACCCATCTCTCCATGGACCAGGCTGCCAGAGGCAGTAGGTGCAATGGCTAAGGGCGGGAGCTCTGGAGCCCGACTGCCTGGGTTCAGATCCCAGTTCTGTCCATTCCTAGCTGTGCGACCTTGGGCAAGTTGCTTCCCCTCTCTGTGTTTTCCTTATCTATAAAATATGGACACTAACAGTACCTACCTCCATGGGGCCGTTGTGAGGATTACATGGGTTCACATTTGCAAAGTGCTTAGAACAGAGTCCGGCGCATGGAAATTGCAATATAAGTGTTTGTTAAGTACAATAAATAAATATTTAGGCCCCAGGGACATGTCCCCTTAACTTTAACCAGAGGAAGATCCAACTGCTATGGAGGTGGGGTTGGGTGCAGGGGGAGGGAAGACTGTTATGTAGACCAAGCTTTGGATTTAATTCCTGGCATCTCCGCTTATTTGCTGAGTGACCTTGAGCAAGTGGATTCATCTCTCTGAGTTCCAGTTTCTTCATCCGTAAAATGTGGGTAACGATTCTAATCCCCCAGGACTGGTAGTTGGGAAACCTGGTCCTGCATACTATGTGTACGATTCAGTCAACAAGAATGAAATCGGAACATAAAACAGTCCCTCTGGAGGGTCAACAAGAATGAAATCGGAACATAAAACAGTCCCACTGGAGTGTTTTATTGTGCCTCTACCTTAGAAGCCTCATATCCTCTGCCCGATCCTCTCTGCATCTTCCTTTGCATGTGTCAAAACCTCCATCCCCAAAGGTCAGAGGTGCCTAATCCCCCATTCCTGCCCTGCTAGTAACTGGGTGGTAACTAACTCAAGGAGGTAGCCAGAAGGAAGCAGCTCCAGGCTAGAACCAGGCCAGAGTCAGCCAGAAACCTACCTGTTGGCCCCTGGAAAGGCCAGGCTGCCTCCTCTTGACCACAGTCCTCAGGAAGCCCTGATCTTTCTTGGATACAAATGAAAGGCTGATCCTCCTGCTGCTAGTTAAGGAGTTAAGACAACTCCTTAATGAGTGTCTTTTCCACCTCTAGGCCTTTGCATTTGCTGTTTGCTCCACCTGGAATGTTCACTCCCCACTGGCTGACTTCTCCACAGCCAGAGATCAAGTTAAATATCCCCTCCTCAGAGAAGCCTTCTCTCCTCCAGATCTGATTAGAGACACCCTAAATTACTTTCCTCTGAACCCTATTTGTTTCCTCTGCCAGCACCTGTTGTAATGTGGAATTATGCATTTTTGTGTGTATTCACTTTTTATTGTGCCTCTACCTTAGAAGCCTCAGGGGTCAGGGATTGGGTCTGCTTTGCTCATGGTATCCACTTTCCTAACCTGGTGACCAGTACACAGCAGATGCTCAATAAAGGTTTGTTGAGTGGATGAGTGGAATCATGGTCACCCATTCAACCATTCGCTGTGGATAAAATCTCAGAGAACCTCCCCGGGGCTCCCTGGCCCACTCCAAGCAAAAGCTCAAGTCCGTACCGGCCTGTGTGATCTGGCTTCGTCTTGGCTTCTTGCCCTCCCCTCACTCCAAACAGCCTTCACACTTGCTATTCTTTCTGCCTGGAACAGTCTTCCACCAATCCCCACAGGGCTCACTCCTTCATGCCCTCACATCCTCAGACAAGCCGTCTTTGACGACTGCATCCCCATCGGCCCCACTAATGCATTCTAAATTCATTATTGCCCCTCAGAGTTCTCCCCGACTCAAATGAAGTTTCATGAGGCCAGAAATTTTTGTCAGTTGCCTGCTTGTCCCCCGAACCTAGGACAGTATCTGGATCAGCAGGGGCTGGAGAAATAGTTGTGGGATGAACATAAGGTCAGTAGCCTGTGTCAGCTGCTCTATCTACGCATCTCACGTAACCGTTGCATTGGCTCTGGGAGGCAGATACCTTCACTACTCTGTTTCACAGACAGGAATCTGAGGCTCAGAGAAAGCAAATAACTAGGATGGAACCCCATTCTGTCTGACCTGCCCCCAGTCTCTATCACCAGCCTGTCCCCTGAGAGGTCCGTGCAGTCTCTCTCCTCTTGTCCCCACAGTTCTCACAGCCTCTTAAGCAGATATGGCCCAGCCTCCCTCGGGTCTCCCTGCCGCCAATCACTCCCACTCACTGAGCTCCCTGGTTGCAGGGGTCCTTCTGAACCACAGATTTGACCATGCCCCTCCTTTGCTTAAAACTTTTCCCTGGCTCCCTATTGCCCCAATCCAGCCTGGCATTTGAGGCCCTGCCAACTTCCCCTGACTTATTCCCTGCTTCGTCATATGCAAAAGCCCTGCTGAAATGCTCCAAGACAAGCTTGATCTCAGCATCAAGTCTTTGGACGTGAAACTTGTCCCTCTGCTGGGAATGCACTCTTCAGCTGATCTAGAGAAACCCTGCTCCTATTTGCTCTCAGCTTGGCTGTCACTCCCACTGGAGAGAAGAGAATATGTGTGTCTTCTTCCATGCCCTTCCAGCTTCGCTGTCAACCCCAGAGGCTGTGAACTCCCCAAGGGTGGGGACCATGACTAATTCATCTCCAGGCTCTTGCTTAGGGCCAGGCCCAGAGCAGGCACTCAACAAATAGCTATGAAGTGATGGGATGTGTCTGAACCCAGACTGCTGGCTTTGCATCCTGACTCCACTATTTACTGGCTGGGAAGCCATGGATTTGTCCATAAACTCCCTGTGCCTCAGTTTCCTCATCTGTGCAATGCTGGTCATGAAAATACCTGCAAATAGGGTGGGGATGAAATGAGTTCATACATGGAATCACTTTGTACAGTCCTGGTGCTCAATAAATAATACCTATTACAATGAAGGAAGGAACAGGTGGTGGGAGGCTGCACTCGTGGGAGCTTGATCCAGGTGGGCATATCCTTCAGCAGACAGTGCTGGCTGCTTCACATCCTCAAGGTTCAGCTGTCACTAGCTGAATCTTTTCCCATCACTACCCTGTTGGATCAAAGGTGGCCAGTGGAATTCGAGGCCATTGGACACAGACAGGAAAAGGCAGCATCACCAACCCTGGTGTAATCCAAACCAGATGCAGCCTCAGACCCATGGGGTGGTCACTGTGGGCTTGGCCAAGGCCCAGAGGCAGGAAATAGCCTTGGAGGAACGCTCTCTGGGCTGGGACCAGCCAGGAGGAGCTGTCCCATTGTGGCTGTTAACCCTGTTTAGCCCAAAAAGGGGGGCCCAGGACACTAGGCAGGGGAAGCTCGTGGTCCTGGCCCCATGAGGCACAAAGCACCTTGCAGGGAAAGTCACAGCATCAACATCATGATGGGCGTCATGCAGGAGGAGCCCACACCCCAGGCACCATGACGGCAGGGCACACCAAGCAAGGGGCAGGGGCACACTCACAGCCTGCCATCTGGGATTTATAGAACCCCAGGCCTAGAGTTTTGGTCCAAACCAGGTGAGGGTTCACTCCCTCCATCAGCGTGACTCCCAGGGTGAAAAAGCCCCATCTCCTGCCTGAGGCTGCTGGAGATGGGAGCTCTAGTGAAAGTGAGGGGTCTGGGGCCCAGGCCCACAGAGAGGCAGAGACTCAGCCCCATATCGGGGGCTGCCACCCCAGCTTTTTTCTATGTGCGCTCTGTGGCCCTTGGAGAGAGCAAAATCTCTCTGAATCCCCATTTCCCCATCCATATTGTTACCTCCAGGGACCAGGGGAGGCCCCAAGGAGGTCCTGAATGAATCAAAAAGAGCTTTTGAAGATGTGCTCCTGGAGGGGGATGGGGTAAAGGCCGTGATCAGCCCTGATCCATGGTTCTGGGTGGGCTTCCTGCCCGGGACATGTTAATTTGCTGTGTGGTCTTGAGCAAGTCACTATCCCTCTCTTGTGAAATACAGTGAATGAGCCCCCAATCCCATATCTCAATTGTCACAATGGCCCTAGGAGCGGCAGAGGAGAGCAAAGCTGAGGTAGTCATTTTCATATTACAGAGGAGGAAATTGAGGCTTGTGCTGGGAGTCGGGAGTCCTGGGTTCTAGTCCCAGCTGTTACTGTCCCTGCTGAGGGGCTTTCCTCGTTTTGGCCTTGGTTTCCCCAGCTGGATCCAGGTCCTGAATCTCTGCTCTCACTGGACCTCATTTCCTCCTCCCCACACCCCGGCAGTGAGTCATCCCTCATCATCATGCTGTGTGGCCAAGGCTCAGCCTGGGTGGGGGCCAGCGAGGCCAAGAAACTCAGAGGAAACCACAGGCCTGGTCCAGCTGGCAGGTGGCAGGCGGGCGGGCAGGCAGGAATCCACGGCCGTGGGGGCCTTGTCCATAAGCACCAAGAACCCGAACCGGGCTCCCCAGGCTCCTTAAGCCCTGCCTGGAAGCCCCACTAGGTTCAGGCCCTGAGTCACCTGCCCCGTGTGGCACTTGCTGCAGCAGGACTCTGCACTTACCCGCTGGAAGAGAGAAGGAGTGGCGGGAAGGACCCTGGCCTCACCCTCAAGGCCAATTTCATGGATGCAGGGGAGGGATGAGATGAACTGTCATGGTCTTGAACTGTGGCCAAGACTAAGAGTCTCAGGAGGCAGGCAGTGCAGCAGTTAAAAGCAAGGACTCTGGGCCTAAACTGGGTACAAATTCTGTCTCTGCCACTGACTAACGATAAGACCCTGAGCAAGTGGCTTACCCTCCATGGGGCTTGGCTTCCACATCTGAGAAATGGACACAACACAGTGCCCACTATGTACGGTCACTGTGAGCTGCCATCGTGATCATGAACACACGGAGCTGGGCCAGGGCCGGCACCCAGCAGGTGCTCAATGCAGTGAACTGCTTGTCACTGCTATTCCTACTGGAACCGATAGATATGCCCCCAGCAGGCAGACCAGCTGCCCCACTGAGGCCAGTCCCACTTCTGACAGTTGTCCTCACAGCCTCAAAGGCTGTACCCTATTAGGGTTAAGCTCTTGCCCTGCCCCTCTAGCAGGTGGAGCCCCCTCCTCCGAACTGGGGGCCTGGGGTGAGGCGGGTTGTAGTCCAGCAGAGAACAGCTCTCTCCTGAGGCTTTCTGGGAGTCTCCCATCACTGTGGGCCCAGCAAAGACCCTGCCTTCTGCTTATACCTTGTTCTGGTGAGAAGCAGGGTGGGCTCATGGGCACAGCCCTGGCTCTAGGAGACAGAAGAGTTCATTTCATGCCCCAGCTTCTGACTCATCGAGTAGCCTTCAAGTTCCTTCTCCTCTATGAGACTTAGTTTCCCCTCTGTAATAGCAAGAATAATCATATCTACCTCATGACCTTTCTGTGAAGAGTAAATGAGTTCATATACATACGAGCGCTTAAGTAGAGCCAGGCACACAGTAATCATCCAATAAATGTTAGCTAGTGCTGTAACCTCTCACAGTTGATGAAACTGAGGCACAAAGTAGGGAAGCCATTTCCCCAGATCATGCACTGGGAAGTCTGGCTCCCGAGGTTGTACTGGTGACTACCACACTGTGAACTGACTGATGTCACTAAAGTGCTTGGCACACAGTAGCTCTCAATGAACGGTGGTTATATGCGACTTTACCCAATTGAGTGCAGAGGGAAGGAGGCCACATCCAACCTGTACATTTATTTACAAGGCACAAGCTGAGAGCAAGTTGGGGGCTGCCCCCTGGCCTTCTCACTCCTCTTGGGCCTGCTGACCCCATCATCTGAGGCCATGCGTGACCTCTGGGATGGGGGCCTGGAGTGGCTGAGTTAAGCCAGCTTGGCCCTCAGGCATGCTCGGGGGTGGTCTCCCGTGTCCCCCAGTCCCCTCCCCTTCCCCTCATCCAGGCCTGGCGTCCTCTCTCTCACACCAAGTTCCTGTGTGTTGGTGGTCGCAAAGAAGGTGGGCGGGGGCTGGGCTGGGCCAGATGGAGTACACTAGGCCTTATCTGTTGGGAGTGGGGAGGCGGGTGGGGACATGGAGGTCTTCTTTCACAAAGCCGGCTCTGTCTCCCCTGACAGCTGGGCCTCAGGAATCGGCTTTGCTGCCTTCCTGCCCCACCAGGAGCCTCCCGTCCACAACCACAGGAGCCCCACACACAGGGACCCCAGCCCTCCCACTTTAGCTAGGAGCAAGACCAGGCCAGGGATGCCCAGGTGGGGCCAAGCAGGGGTCACCAGGGCAGCAGTTCCAAGAGGGGGAGCCTGGGAGGACACACGTCTGGACTATGGCTGATGGGCTGCAGCCCTGTCTGGGAAGGCGTTAGCAGGATGGATTCAGACCACATTCGAGGCGGCTCATGTCGGGGAAGCAGTCGCTGCAAGGAGGCATGGGGAGCCCCGAGCCTCCCAGCCTGGCACAGCCTTGTCCTAGCCAGCCCACCCTGGGGTCTAGCCCGTCTGCTCTGGCCTTCTGGGCTGTGTGGCCTCAACCCTGACCCACCGTGTGGCTGTGTCCAGGCTTCAGCCACTCCCGGGGCTCAGACCCCCAGAGCCATCAATGCCCCTGAGCTGCTGATCTTCTTGAAGCGGTTGGCAGCGCTGACGGCAATGAAGTTTCTCTGGGGGATGAGGAAGAGAGGGGTCCCAGTCAGCGTCAGGGCAAGGGAGAAGCTGTGGACCACTGAGTATCTCCTAAGGTCCCCTTCACTCCAGGAGGGCCAGATGCCAGGGAGGGTGCAGTGCCCAAAATGGCCACAGGAGGCACCATGGCATTGCATCCTCCAGGATTCCTTCATTCAACAGATTTGTCAGCCAGACCTGAATACTGCTCTGCTCAAAATACTCCAATGGGTCCTATTTCACTCCAAGTAAAAGATAAACCCCTCACCATGGCCCACGAGTCCCTCCATATGCGGCCTCCTGCTCTTCTCCAACCTCTCTCTCCCACTCTCGTGCTCATTCCACCCCAACCGTACTGGCTTCCTACCTGTTCCTCACACTTGCCAGCCACGCTTCTGCCTCAGGGCCTTTGCACTAGTTGTTCCCTCTGCCAGGGACACTCTTCCCCCGGGATCGCACCGCTCAGGTCTCACCTCCTTCAAGACTTTGCGCACTTGCTCCTTCTCAGAGAGCCCTCCCTGACCACCTACTTAGAAGTACAAGCTCTCCTCTGGCACCCCTGACCATCTTTATTTTTTTCTAGAGCCCTTTCTTAACCCCTTTTAAAAACTCTCCATCCCCTACCAAAAGTAAGTCCACAAAGACTGAAATCCCTGTCTCCTTTATCCACTGGTGTATCCCCAGTGCCTAGTAGTAGAGGCTCAATAAACATTTGTAAAATGAAGGGAGGAAGCCTGTGTTGAAGTCAGAGACCTTTTCCTGAGCTGAGCCCCAGATGGACGCCCCTCCTAAGGGTGGAGGAGGTGGGCGGAGGGTCAAGAACCAGCCCAGGACAAAGGGAGAAAAGTCAACTCTGTTTTCCAGACAAGGCCAGCCCTGGTCAACAGAACCTGCCAAAGCAGGGCTGGTGGGGCCTGGGATCTGGTGCCAGGAGCTCTTCCTGCCTTGCAGCCCTTCCCTCCCCCAACCCCCAGCCCAGCAGTACCTTCCAGCGCCTCTTCATGAGGTATTTCTTAAGCAAGATCTGGGACTTGAGGCGTCGATTACAGCGCTTGGCTTTCTCTGCCAGGTTGTTGAGCCAGGGGTGGGCGAGACACTGGGCAGCGCTCATGCGGGCCCTGTGGGGAGGGGGCAGCATGGCAAGGGTGGGTGACATGCCCATGAGGCACCAGAGTCCAGCTGGCCTCCAAGCCCAGTTCCCACCCTGCCTGCGCATGCATGCACTGGGCTCTCACACACAGGGTTCACATCCTACGGTGAACCTCACCCCTGGTCCTTGACGATGAGGTTGGAGACAAAGTCTTTGGCCTCATCTGACACAGCCTCGAAGGTCTCCTCATCAAAGTACCAGTTCCCAGATAGAACATTGTTTAGGGTCTCTGTGTCATCATCTCCCAGGAAGGGGGAGAGGCCGCTCAATCTGGAGGGAGGGGATGGCAGGGGGCAAGGAGGTGAGATTGGAGATGCTGAGTCACCTTTGGGGGTTTGGGGGGGTGGGGGCAGAACCTAGGAGGCAGCACCATGTGCTGAAAAGACCCCCAGCCTCTCAAGTGGGACAGACCTGAGTTTGAATCTGGCTGGGTGACCTTGGGCAAGTCACTTCCCCTCTCTGAGCCTCACTCTTCTCATCTGTAAAATGGGCATAATCATCCCAGCTTCCCAGGGTTACAGTGAAGAAGAGGAATAGTGAATGCACAGAAAATGTCCACTACCCCTCTGCCCCCACCCTGGTTCACCAGAGATCTGCTGTCCAGAGCCCTGGGCTGGGATACTGTGCCTTTAGGGGCCTTGGTTTCTCCCTCTATACAGTGGGTACAAAGTTCCCCTTTCCTGGTTCTCCCTAGCACTCCCAACCCCCAGCAAACCCCTGACTGAGCAAGTGGTGATGTGGGACCACCTCACCAGAACCCCAAGGCCAATCTTCGCCTCAGCTGCCCACCCAGGTGCCCCAACCCCAGGAACATCATGCTCCCTCGGGGCTCACAGCATGTAGGTGATGACCCCCATGCTCCACATGTCTGTCTTATCGGAGATTTGGTCGTAATTCACCACCTCAGGTGACAGGAACTCTGGGGTCCCAAAATTCACCTTCAGCTTCTCGTTGGGGTTATACCTAGGGGTGAGACCAAGAGCTCAGAACACAGATCCCAGCCCATTCACAGGTACCTCCACCCTTGCCTTGCCCCCTGCCCTCCTCAGAGGCTTGCCTTGCCCTCCCCACCCCCCTAGGCGGTACCTCCGTGCCAGGCCGAAGTCAATGATCTTCACCAAATGGCCTGTGGTGTTGACGCACAGGATGTTCTCTGGCTGAGGAGAAGGGGTGGCCTGGATTGGCCTCTGACCTGGCTCACCCTCCCTCCCCTTCCAGGTCCACCCACATCTCAGGCTCCCTGAGCCAGAGGCCCAGGCTGCCAGAATGGGCAGCCCATCCAAGACCCTCAGACCCGCCTGCTCCAGGCACAGATGAAGATCCCAAGGGCCCGAGAGGGACTCAGAGAAGGCCTCGTAGCACAAGGCTTCTGGCTGGGTTCAGGTGGGATTTCCCTTCATTTAGGGCCATGAAAGAACAACAATGTTCCAGCAATTCCAAGGATGGCGTAACAAGCCTTCAGAGGATAGTACCCTGGGCAGGAGGCCCATCCAGGGCCACCAGGTACATAGAACTCCAGAGACCGGAGAAAGAAAACACCATCTCAGGGGTCTCGGAGGAAGCCTCTTGGGAACAGAGGGGCTTCACGCTGCTTCCGGCATGCTCTGCGATGTGCCACGCTTATCTCCCCAGTTAGGGATGACAGTAACACCTATAAAACGTCAGGCCTTATGACCATCCATCACTTTCCATGTGTTAACTCATCAATCTTCCCAACAGCTCTATGAGGCAGAGATTGTCACCATCCATCCTCATTTCACAATTGAGAAAACTAAAGCTCAGACACAGAAGCGACTTGACCGTAGTCACCTAGTAAGTAAGTGATGGAGCCAGGACTAGACCTCAGGACTGTCTGACTCTAGCAGAGGTCTCCTGACATCACTCTGCCTGCCGCTGGGCAAAGGGACCCACGGTGAACTCTACAGAGTGGGGGCTGGGGCAGACAGGACACTTGTGGGTTGGCTCTTCCAGGATAAGGATCATCTTCTCCCAGCCCTCTTGCTCTCCACCCTCAGTGTCTAGCAAGCGGGTGCCCAGCTGAGGCTCCCAGAATCCTGTGCTCCAAGCACAGGTTAGCATATGAATGAAGTTACTGCGAGGCTAGTCCCTCCCCACTCTGGACCTCCATCTCTTCTTCATATAACACAAGGACATGGGACAAATCTGAGGTTACAGGGCAGAAACATTTTAAGTAGTTAACAATGGTTAAAAGGCAGGAGATTTTGCAAGAAAACCCTGATATCCTGATTGTCAGGACCTCCTGAAACACCAGAAGCCCCGGCCACACAGCCACGCGTTGCTTGAGTGAGTTGCCTCTGACCCCTGAGTCTGGGCAAAGGTCCTCCAGTTCCCCCAGGCCTCCGCTGCCCCGACATACCCTTTAATTCGGTCCTGTTACTCATCTGGGCTCTGTGGGCATTTGATTGGAGGCCCTTAACAACATGCTTCCTGAAGGCCCTTTTCCAACTGATGCATTCACTCGGAGCAGGACACTAATGGCTTTAATAGCTCGACCTGGTGTCCCACCAAAATGGGGGGGAAAAAAAGGTCCCGGGGTATAATTATTTGGGGAAACGAGACAGACTCAGATCTGTTGGAGGACATGAGACTTCCCGAGAAGCCCCAGCCTGGGAAATGGTTCACCCAACTTATTTAACAGTGATTGACAGTGATGCCCTTTTTTGATGAAAAACTTATCGCTATCCTGAATAAAACATGTTTTAGGATACAGACTTAAGGCTGAGCTTCTCCCCAGAGCATTGTATTTTCATTGGGGACCCTGCTCTACCCTAAAGAGATTGACTTTTCTTGGGGAATGGCAGGCCTCCAATGCCATAGTGCCGTCCAAAAACTCAGGGGTCACCCTTCCTTTCTTTCCTTCCCTCCCCCTCCCTTACCCCAACCCAAATCATCAGCAATCAGAATGGCTCTGCTTTCAGAACCATCCGTGCCAGGCCACTTCCCATCCCTCATCACCTCTGGTTCCTGCTCCACCATCTCTCTCCTGGCTTATTACAACAGCCTCCTCAATTCCCTCTGCCATCTTAGCCCTATTGAAACCCATCTCTTTACACCCCCACTTCCTCCCTTGTCAGTGGGGATGACAGAAGCACACCTGCTCCAGTGGGTTGTTGGGAGGGGCGCTCACTCTGAGCTGCAGGATAGGTGTGGCCAGCAGCAGCAGCAGCCCCCTGGCCCGCTTCAGACCTCTAACACTCGCCTTTGCCGGCTTCTCCAATTTCACCTTGTACGTCTTCTCGTTAATTTCACGTACTTTATCATAACACTTTTAACAGTTGAAAATGATCTATTTATGGGTCATTTTAAACTAACCTCACTAACCTGCAGGCTCCTCGGGATGGGGTGGGCCCTTCGCCATCCCTAATGCCTCACTAACCTGCAGGCTCCTCGGGATGGGGTGGGCCCTTCGCCATCCCTAACGCCTGTGCCCCCCGCAACAGCACACTAGTTTTTATCAAAAGAACAAATGCAAGAACTGTCAACCTTGGCGATGGGTGCCAACCCACCTCAGTGTGCACATTTCATCTCCATTCGCCTTGCCACTTATCCCACGAACATTAACACCTGCCGTAAGGTGGGGAACAGCCCGCACTCATGCGGCTCCGACCTGCTCCACACCACGGCCCACGTCAGTGAGCTCCAGAGCTCCAGGCAGATACTACCAGCTGATTATAAAATCTATCACTCCCCCTTTTTAGTTGCTAGGTGCAAGGTACCGAGCAAGGTCAGAAGAGGGATATAAATATTCTTTCATTAGACAATTTTGTTAGTGCCTACCACATGTGTATTGCTGCAATGACATTATACTTATTAATTTGTTTGGCTGACTCCCCTTTTGGAACATAAGCTCACAAAAGCAGACATTTTGATCTATTTTGTTCACTCCTGGATCTCCACCACCGAGAACACTGCCTGGCATGTAGTCGGCCCTCAACAAATATTTGTTAAATAAATGAATAAACACTCAAAGTGCCTTTCAGGGCCCAGCACAAAGGTAGGTGCTTTTGCAACACTTATTAGAAAGTTCCGTGTAGGAAGCACTGAGCTTGGGGTTCGCAGGGCTGCAAAAGACCCTTTCAACAAGTACTTAGTACTAGACTAGAAACTCCTGAAGGCTGGGATGTTTTTTGTTCTCTGTTCTCTGTACCCTGACTCTCGATATTTAGTAAGTGCTCAATAAACCCTTTCTGAATCTGTAGATGGCAGGATGGATGGAGGAAGAACAGGAGGAATGGGAGGATGGAGAGATGGCTGGTTGCAACACCGATTTCAAGTGGTCGGATGCTGCTCCTGACCCCTCCCAGGAGGCCCCAGCCCCAATACCTTGAGGTCCAGGTGCAGAACCCTCATCTTGTGCATGAAGAGGATCCCATCGCAGATCTGCCTGACAAACACCATGGTGTCCACCTCGGTCAGCTGATAATCCTCATCCACAATCCTCTCGAAGAGCTCGCCGCCCTCGATGCTGCGTGCACAGACCCCTCTACAGGCTGCTTCTGGGCCTCTGACACCCCCACCCGGCCCCCTGCCCCCACTGCTGACACTCACTACTCCATGAACAGGATGATCTCATGCGAGGTCTCAATGGCCGCATACAGCTGGATCAGATTACGGTGGTTCAGCTGATTCATAACCTCTATCTCAAGCATCACCATTTCCTGGGAAACCAAGAAGTCAGGAGCACATCTAAGCATCATCACTGTCTGCTCTCCATCCTCCATACCCACGCCCTTCACAAGACCCTGCCTGGACCACTGCCCAGCCTCCTCCTCGCTGGCCTCCTTGCCTCTCACCTCTCCCCACCCCCAACCCTATGTCCTCACCACCCCCAACCCTATGTCCTCACTACCCCCAGTCCTTCCTGCCGGGCACATTCCTT